GACTGACTCGTGCGGCAACATAGAGTCCAGCATAGTCGTCACCGCCCGGCCGTACACCAGCTGGAAGGGTGTCACTCCTGTGGTCTCTTGCACTGCGGTGTTGTAGGCGAACGTGACGTAGGGCAGCACTTCGTCCCAGGTCTTGTGCTCCACGTCGACGTACATAGAGACCATGTCGGCGATTGTTTTGTTAAGCCGCTCCGTCAACCCATTGGTCTGCGGATGGTATGCCGTTGTTCGACGGTGTTCCGTGTGGCTTAGACGAAGGATCTCTTGGGTCAACTGTGCCATGAACGACGACCCTCGGTCTGTAATCAGTACTTCGGGGGCGCCATGCCGGAGGACGATGGACTCGATGAAGAACTTGGCGACTTCGACCGCAGTCCCCGACGGAAGGGCTTTCGTCTCGGCGTAACGAGTAAGATAATCGGTGGCGACGATTATCCAGCGGTTCCCCATCGTCGACGGTGGAAAAGGACCCAGCAAATCCATTCCAATTTGCTGGAAGGGCTTGGTTGGCGGGGTAATCGGCTGGAGGAGACCTGCTGGCTTTGACGGCGGTTTCTTGCGTCGCTGGCACTCATGGCACGATCGTGTGTAGAGATGGACGGTCTTCGGAAGCTTTGGCCAGTAGTACTTGTCACGAATCCGGGCAAGGGTCCTGCTGTAGCCGAGGTGTCCGGCTGTTGGGTCGTCGTGGCACGCTTGAAAAATTTCTTCTCGGAGGTTGGCGGGGACAACCAGTAGCCAAGGAGTTTCGCTGGTTCCGAAATTCTTTCTGAAGAGCACGCCTCCCCGTAGGACAAAGCTCGGTAGGTCCCGAGAAAAGACCCGTGGGACAGAGCTTCCTCGACCTTCGAGGTGGTCGATCACGGAGCTAAGTTCCGCGTCGTCGCGTTGCAGTGCCCTCATGTCGGTAGCGTTAACTGCGCCTAGAAAAAAGGAGTCGTCATCGTCGTCGGCGCCGGAGATTGGAGGTTCGACTGGAGCCCTAGACAAACAGTCAGCGTCATTATGCTTGCGGCCGGACTTATGCACAACGGTTACGTCGAATTCCTGCAGTCGAAGGCTCCAGCGGGCGAGGCGTCCGGACGGATCCTTGAGGTTTGCGAGCCAGCAGAGGGCGTGGTGGTCTGTGACCACGCGAAACGGGATCCCATACAAGTACGGGCGGAACTTGGTTATCGCCCAGACAACAGCAAGACATTCTTTGTCGGTCGTTGAATAATTTTGTTCTGCCTTAGACAGCGTCCGGCTTGCGTAAGCTATTACTCTCTCTGCCCCTTCTTGTCGCTGAACGAGTACCGCACCGAGACCGGTATTGCTGGCGTCCGTGTGGATTTCAGTCTCCGCCGACTGGTCAAAATGTCCGAGGATAGGGGGCGACTGGAGCCTTCGCTTGAGTTCGCCGAACGCTTGCTCTTGCTCCTCTCCCCACTGGAACTGCACGTCGTCTTTCGTCAGATGCGTCAGCGGTGCAGAAATTTGTGCAAAGTCACGAACGAAACGTCTGTAATAGGCGCACAGCCCAAGAAATCTTCGAACGGTCTTCTTGTCTGATGGCTTCGGGAACTCGGCGACAGCGGACGTTTTTGCGGGATCAGGGCTTACACCCTGCGCACTCACGACGTGGCCCAAGAATTTCAGCTCACCATAGGCGAACCGACACTTGGAAGGCTTGAGGGTCAGCCCAGCAGCCTTGAAGGCCTGTAGCACGGCTCGCAGTCGTCTCAGATGCTCGTCAAATTCGCTTGCGAACACCACAACATCGTCGAGGTAGACGAGACAGCTTTGCCATTTCAAGCCGGCAAGGACGGTGTCCATAACGCGCTGGAAGGTTGCCGGCGCTGTGCACAGCCCGAACGGCATTACTTTAAACTCATACAGTCCATCCGGCGTGACGAAGGCTGTCTTCTCACGATCTCGTTCGTCGACCTCAATCTGCCAGTACCCGCTCTTTAAGTCCATCGACGAAAAGTATCGGGCGTGGCGCAGCCGGTCCAGGGTGTCGTCGATCCGTGGCAGCGGGTAGACGTCCTTTTTTGTTACGGCGTTCAGTCGGCGATAGTCCACGCAGAACCGAAGAGTCCCGTCTTTCTTTTTCACCAGGACTACCGGTGAAGCCCACGGACTGCTTGAGGGCTGGACAATGTCGTCGTTGAGCATTTCTTGTACCTGCTGCTGGATGGCTTCCCTTTCTTTCACGGAGACCCTGTACGGCGGCCGATGCACAGGGAGCGCGTCGTCATCAGTAATTATCCGATGTTTCGCAACCGTCGTTTGGCGCACCTTCGACGACGCGGAGAAGCACTCACTGAACTCGGCGAGAAGGTCACGAAGTTGTCGTCGTTGTGGGGCTGGGAGGGACGGGTCGATGTCGAGCTCTGAGGACGTGATTGTCTTGTTCTGCGTCGGAGAGGCGTCTCCTGAGATCACGGCGATCGCGGCTGAGTCTTGAATTTCCTCGACGTAGCCCACGGCTGTACCCTTCGTAAGGTGCTGCGACTCTTGCCGGAAGTTGGTGACAAGGGCTACGGTACGCCCGTCCTGGAGCTCTGTTACGCCTCTTGCAATGCCAATCCCTCGTCCGAGGAGAAGTTGGACGCTTCCTTCCAGCAGTGCTACACCGCAGGTGGCTCCTTCGGTCCCGACGGGCACAAAGACACTCGACAGCGGCGGCAGGTTTACGTGGCTGACGAGGACTCGCGCTGCAGCTAACGTAGGTTTGGGATTTTCCACCGATGGCACAGGCTTCCGAAGCGTCAGCTTGTTCTCCGCAAGGTCGATGATGGCGCCGTATTCACACAGGAAGTCCATTCCGAGAATGACGTCCCTCGAGCAGTCTTGCAGAACGACGAACTTCACAGGGCATGTTTCGCCGTGAATCTCGACGCGAGCGGTGCATCTCCCGACTGGTGTAATCAGGTGTCCTCCGGCGGTTCTTATTTGTGGTCCATCCCACGGCGTTATGACTTTTCGAAGGCGGCGCGAGAGCCTCCCACTCAAGACTGAGTAGTCTGCTCCGGTGTCCACGAGTGCCGATTCGTCGAGGCCGTCGATCACAACGTTCAGGTTGTTGGACACCGATGCAGGAGCGTCGTTGTGATGCGTGGCGTCGGGAGAGTGGGAGCGCTCCGTCGTTCTTGGAGGCTCTTTACGTCGGTCGTCTTCGGCAACTCCACCTCCAGGGGTTGCCGCGCCTAGTTTCCCCGGCGAGGAGCAAGGGGTGATAGGCTTTCACGTCGGGGTCGGTGCATCGGCGAAGCCGGACGTCGTGGCGATGGCGACCGGAACTCTCGGCGGGAGGCAGGCTCGGGGGACTGAGGTCGTCGAAGGTACTCGTCGATCTCCCGAGGGCGTTCACCGTAACGGGGGCGTGGGTCATTTGGGTGGAACCCCCGCAGTCCGAGTCGCCGGTATGGGCATTGGCGGTAGGTGTGGTTCGCTTCCCCGCAGTGGAAACACAAAGGACGTCGGTCGGGTGTTCGCCACACGTCGGTCTTCCGAGGTGCGCGGGGCTCTTGGCCGGCGTACTGAGCCTGGTCGTCGCGGCGGCGGTCGTGCTGCAGCGCAGGAGAACGACGTCGGGGCGGCGCAACATAGGCTGGAGGAGGAGGCGGTGGCCGTCGGGCCACTGCGGCGTAGGTCAGGGCGGGCTCTTCGGGTGGTGCTACGCTGGCAGGAGCCTCCGGTTGAATTGCCCGCTGGACTTCTTCGCGCACCACTTCGGCTATCGACAGCTCAGCCGGCTGGTTGGCAGCAGGCAGCAGTTTCCGGAGCTCCTCCCGGACGATGTCGCGGACAATTGCACGAATATTGTCAGCACGGGCGCCGCCTTCGTCGAATCGGGAAGGTGTCAGCGTCGACGCAACAGGCGTGCCGGCAAGTCGGTTGTAGTGGCTGGCTCGGATTGACAGGGCACGCTCGATGTTGGTTGCCTCGGTAACGAATTCCCCGACAGTTGTTGGTGGGTTGCGAACAAGGCCGCCGAAGATGTCACTCCTCACTCCTCTCATCAGCACGCGCAGCTTCTTCTCCTCGGTGGACTGAGGGTCGGCGCGGTTGCTCAGGCGGAGGACGTCTTCAACGAAGCTGGTGACCGTTTCGTTGGGCCCTTGGGTTCGTACTTGCAGAAGGTCTTCCGCTCGCTGTCGTCGTGTCTGGTTCGTAAATGTGTCTTTCAGGCCGGCGATGCAGGTGTCCCAAGACGTAAGCGACGCCTCGTGGTTCTCGAACCACTGCCTCGCGGTACCCTCCAAAGAGAAGTAGAGGTTTTGGAGGCGCTGCTCAGTGGTCCATCCATTATGGCGTGCTACACGTTCGTAGTGCTGCAGCCAGTCTTCTACATCCTCATAAATTTCACCGTGGAACGGCGTCGGCACACGGGGAACCACGGGCAGGAAGACGTAGGACGGTGCTGCTTGGGGGATTTCCGTCGGCTGCGCCGTGGAGTCCATTGTCGGCTTGGGTGGCTTCTTGGCGTTGTCCGGCAGGGGACCAAACTCTGGTGGTTGTCCTCGGAGACGCTGGCTTGCCCGGGGCCCTGTCTCTTCTTCAAAAGGTCGTCTTGGAGTGGGGCTTGCCGAACGGGTCCTCGGAGGGGTACGGCGAAGAGGCATAAGGTGTTACCCCGCACCTCCACCAAAAATGTCACGGATGGTGACTAATAAACAAGAAATAAACAGGAATAAATAAACGTTTAATGTGGCGAACTTGTGCCAAAAATAAAAGGGTACAAAAGAAAGATAACAACAGAGCGTCGCGGGCGTCGAAGGCGGCGAAGCAGCACGATCAAACGCTGAGGCGAGACTGACTCGACAAGGTCGCGGGCGGCCTCTTATCTAGAGTGAGTCACTATCTCGAAGATTCGGCGGAGAAGGTTCGAGCGTAGCGCGCTTGGGGCGAGAATGAACAAGCACTTTCTAGAACAACGAAAGCAGGGACAAACGATAGTTATGCCCGCAGCAAGAATAAACGAGAACATTCTACAAGTCTGTGACCCTGCGCGCGGCAATATGCAAAATCATGCATGACAGATCGCAATCCACCCAGGCTTAATCTATCTATAAAGACACCTTTAGAATGCAATACATTTAGAAGCTTTGGGATTCGGTATGCTAACATTTCCTTACCAGTGTTTAGCCGACACGTTGGTACGTGCCAGTAATCTGGATTACGAATTTGGTATTGTACGATATGTTGTTGCAAAGCAGACAATTCTACCAGGGATGAAGTGCTGTAAAGAAATTCTGTTCTAAGTTTTGTGGATAGCCTATAGTTATAAAGATTGTGAATACTGAGTATATGATAACTTTTAAACAGGTTTTCCGTGTGCGAAAGATGAGGTACGTTTGCAATTACTCGCAACATTCTTTTTTGAAGCAGGTGCACCTTCTCAAGATTAGTTGCAGTGGTAGTACCCCAAACTAACGAACAATAATTTAAATGGGAATAAAATAATGATTTGTATAATAATATTTTAACAGATGTAGGAAGTAAATACCGATGCCGACATATAATACCCACAGTTCTTGACAATTTTTTATTTAAATGTTCAATATGGCTATCCCAGGACATATTCTGGGAAAACACTACTCCAAGTGTTTTAAAATTATCAGTTAATTCAATATTTACCGAGTTTAAAGTAATGGTGTTTATTGGAGGAAGAAATTTATGCTTAGGTCGAAATAGTACGGCTTTAGTTTTACTTGTATTTATTTTTAAAGCGTTCTTTTTTGTCCATACCGATATCTGACCTAACAATAGGTTTACTTTTGACACGAGCTCCTCAGGATCGTCCGCAGCATACAGAAGTGTTGTATCGTCAGCATATATTATCAATTTAGTTGTTTGGTCAATATTCACAATGTCATTTACATATACGTTGAAGAGAAAAGGGCCTAATATACTTCCTTGTGGTACTCCAGAGACTATGGGTTTTATACTGGATGAAAAATTACTACAGCACACATATTGTTTACGATTTTTGAGATATCCCTAGCAAAAATAACGGTTTGAAATCAGTCCGGAAAGTGAAATCCGGACTAAGATCAAACCGGAGTCACACCGGAGAGGCGGCTTCCGGTTCGCACAAACCGTGAATTTTCATATCCGGTTCAAAGTCAAATTGGAGGAATTCCGGAGAGGCGAATTCCGGTTCGGTCAAACCGTGATTTTCCTAATCCGGTTCAAAGTCAAAGTGGAGGAATTCCGGACACGCAAATTCCGGTTCGCTCTAACCGTGAATTTCCTAATCCGGTTCAAAGTCAAATTGGAGGAATTCCGGACAGACAGATTCCAGTTCGCACAAACCGTGATTTTCCCAGTCCGCTTCAAAGTCAAATTGGAGGAATTCCAGACCGTCAAATTCCGGTTCACACAAACCGTGATTTTCCTAATTGGCGAACAAACCGTGATTTTTGGAGTCCGGTTCAAAGTACAATTGAAGGAATTCCAGATACACAATATGCGGTTCGAACAAACCATTCCTTGTCAAATTCGGTTAAAAAACAAACTGGACAAAGTCTAGACTGAAAATATCCGCCTTGCACAAAACCATACTTTGCCATATCTTGTTCCAAAGAAAATCGGATCAGCCGCCTGATGCCGAAGACTTTCAAGCGTATGGTTGAAATATCAAGTTGCAAACAATCCATCCCGATACCGTACTTACGGGCTGCTGCGTCGATCAAAGCTCAGACCGCAGAAGACAGCCAGCTGATATGCGGCGCCAAAAAGGCGACATCACGGCGATTTTTGTGCAAGTCATCGCCATCTGATTCCATCTAGCATTTTTATGCACTCTGCAATACTTGTTCATTATTATGCTTAAACTACGTTTTGTTATTTTTTAATTATTTTTTAAATAATTGCTTGATAACTGTCAAATAACCTTTTTTATATAATTTTCTCCACATAAAAACAAACAAAAACAAGAACTAATTCGATGCCACAGCTAGATGTACACACAATCGGAAAGTGTCATTTCAGTATCTTTGACAGCTTTCCTGCGGTCTCCTTGTTTATGCCTGCATGCTGAACATTCTATTATGGTGCACATGCAGGCAATTTCAGGGGCTTTTATCAATATAGGTACGCAAAGCAGGGATTTAAACCGTAACCGAAACCGAAAACCATTTAGGAACGAAAATTTTCAGTAACCGTAACAGGAACAAAATTGTTATTTGAAATTCAAAAAACAAACGTAACCGTAAGTGTAACCGTAAAGTATTTACCGGTAACTGGTTTTAACCAATATTAGCCTAAAAATAAAATTTTTTTTTTTCTCAGGTATGATTTGGCGGACGGATCTTGAAATATTGTGGCAATTTGACAAAGTTACTTTCAGCGAGTGGTGCATCTGGTAATACAATTTCCGTTCAATCTAACTTTAGGATTAAGGATACTTGGTTGGAATCATTAGTCGTGCTTATAATAAAAAAAAAGTATATTTCTAAATCTATCACACTCCTACATCGCTGCATGTGTCAGTACGTGTCGCCTTCAGTGTAATAACTAATAAGTTACAATTCTCAGATGTCCATCCCATTCGGTTCTATCAAAACCACCAATGTTCCTGACATGCAGCAGCCAGTATGAAGAAACGAGGTAAATTGACTGTCATGCAGAGCTGGCGGAAAAGAAAACCTGGTATTCATTTAGTCTGAAACGTCGCTGGTGACGATTTTGAGACAACACAGAAAGAAAAAACAATGTGACAGGTTTGACATTGGCGTTAAGTGTATGTTTCATATTAACCGTGATCCAGAATTTATCTGAACAGAAAACAATCACGAAAATTAAAATTATTTTGTGAAGTGAAAGCTAATATATCCTCTGACGGCCAGTATTTACATGGAAGCTCAGTGACTGGCCGGCATCGGCGCTTTGGTGTTCAAGCTGGCGAGCCCCGTCATGGAAGATCCGTTTACTGACCGGCATCGTTTTATTTTTTTTTCGCCTTTTTCACTATGAATTCAAGTCATTGAGATTCTGAAAAACTGTGGCAATTCATGGATAGCGAGTGGAAATGTTTGCGTTGATCAATCCTTCCTAAATGACTGCCGACGCTAGGGTATTTTATCACAGCATGGCAAGGCTGACGTGTTTTATCGCGAAAACGCAAGAAAAAACAATACGGCGAAGAAAATTAGCTGCAGAGGATTTGAGAATATGACCGCCTCCGCCACGAAAAATAAATTTTACAACGCCGAACATCACTTTTTTCAGGAAGCTAGTTTAATTTGATGTACTATACTTAAGGTCCGGTGGTATACGCAGATGTTTGGCCCTGATAAAAAATAAAAACGGTATAACGGAGCCTAAAATGAAGAAAAAAAAAAAAAAAACGTGGCATGATTGAGCACGCGCTTTGAGTTACAAAATCAATAATAAACATTACTTTCCAGAGACTAGAAAAGTAAGAGATGTGTTTATTGCTTATGACGCTACGAAATTGAGTGCGAAAATATGCTATTTCAGACAGGAATCAACTGCTTTCTGTGGTAGTTACGATTATCTAACAGAGATATTTTGAACGTTCCCATAGCCAAACGATATCTGTCGCTTTGATAAATTATGTTATACGACATAGCGTTCCAGAGGAACGCGAATATAAAATCTTCTTTTTTTAACGCAAAAAAGCGAAAAACAGCACTGCATTGTGGATGTTCACACTGCCGGGTTTGTGAATGTGACCCCTTGACGCTACGAAAAATAATTGTTACAACGTTGAAGGATGCCATTTCTGAACGCTAGTTTAATTATCCGTGCTGCACTTGAATCTCAGGAATAAAAACGTGTCTAGGCCTAATAAAAAAGTAAAACTGCGGAGCGCAACCAGTATAAATAAAACCTGTCCGCACGCGGGGGAGAGCACTGATCTACGAGAACAAATTAAATACTACTTTCCGGAAGTCAGAATATCAAGAGATGTGCTTAATGCGTAGCGCGCTATGAGCTCAGCTAAATTACTGCCTTAAAATGACGGTATTTTTGATTCGACAGTGGGTGAAGACAGCCGCTTTCAGACAAACTTCAGCTGCATTACTGTGGCAGTTTTACCACTTACACATTTTCCCATTTTGCTCGCAATATGCTCATTATTATAACATTTCTTTCTTCTTTGAAAGGACTTGTACTGTTTGCCTACGTTTATGAATTATCCCGGCAAAACAAGAGGGCCGCGGTTTGTGCTTTGCAACAATTCACACTTAGGCTCGCACTTTTTGTGTTCACGTTTTCCGTGATTATTACCCTAAAGAACGGTGCCGACGACTGCAAAAACATATAAAATGTTTAAAATAATAAAATCTAATACAGAAAGGTGAGAAAAAATATTAAAAAATTTAAAAACTAATACAAGAAGGTGAGAAACAATATTCAACTAATAAAAACTAATACAAAAAGGCGAGAAAAAAATAATAGAAATAATAAAAACTAACACAAGTAGGCGAGAAAAAAAATATTTAAAGTAATAAAAACTAATACTAAAGGGAAAAAACATTTAAAATAATAAAAAGTAATATAAAAAAACACATAAGAAAAGAGCGCTCTGCGGGATTCGAACCAACGTCCGCACGCTCTGCAAGATAGCGCGTTAACAAACTAAGCTAAAGTTTCCTTTTTTTTTTTTTTTTCTTTATTGCATGGAAAAAATACGACAATACCAAAGTGCCTATTTAACGTTCAATTTTGTGCACTGTTCACTCATACTTCAAAACTCTTTGATGTCTCGCAGGTTAGTAAACAATGGTAGCCAGTCGGGTGCGTCTGACAGGGTATCATACACACTTTTGACACGGATTACAAGGTCGATGAAATGCAAGCGTACAGTTTTTGGGTGGACGTTTTCGTTTCTAACATCAAGACGGGATTTCCACATGCTGTACAAAGACAGCAGAATTACAAGATCATAAGGAAAGGTATCCCCAGGTGAAACAGGTAAGAAACGAATCGTGTAACTTGTAATATCAATGTCTTTCTTTAGAGTGCGCTGCAAAACATCCCAAAAGAAGACTGCATCCCAGCAGTGGATAAAAGCGTGCTCTACTGTTTCAGGTGTTTTACACAGGGTACAGTTTTCTGACCATGGTACGAATAGTCCCTTTTCTTGTAACCACACTTTGGTAGGCAATACGGAGCAATGCAGTTTAAAAAAAAAGGTTTTAGCCGCAGCGGGAATGCACATTTTCTTTACCCGACGTAGTACATCTTGGCCGGGGTTATTATCAAACATAATGCGATACATTGGCGCCGGAAAGATGACACTTACTAGGTCTTTTGTTAACTTCTTTCGTGTTATAGTCGTTAGATAATCTCTTGAAAATCTTACAGACAAAAAATTAAAGGCATCAACTACTTCTTTCAGGTACCCTATCAGCACACACCTTGGGCTTCCGGCGGAAGATACAATAAAATCTGGAAGAGAGGATGCCAGTCTATTTTGTACGACTTCTTGAAGGAAGGGATGTTCTTGGTCTCTAAGAATAAGAAATCGTGAAACCAATTGGCGTATGAATAAATGAGGAAGGCCAAGTCCACCGTCAGACACACGACGAAACAAGTTGTCGCGGCGCATTGGTTCCCAAGAGGACTTCCAAACG